TCTACTGGGGCTTTGGGGGGAAAAATAAATAAAAAAATAAATAAAATCTTAAAAAAAAAAAAAAAAGAAAAATTTTTATATTTTCAAGTATATGGGGAAGCCATTCTGGTTTGAACCCAATTTGGCCTGAACCTTATTTAAACAAAGAAGCCTACCTTACGACCTGTCAAACACTGTCCATCTGCTTTAACCTGCAGTAGGGAAAGTCCTCTTTGAAGACAGGATCAACGCCTCCCTCCCTATGGCACCAGGCTCATGCTGAAGGAATGCTGGGCATGCGCTAGTCTAACAAACTTCTCCCTGAACCCTTGAAGGAATGTACCGCCGTCACACTTGATGACGTATCTTTGTTCTGAAATGGTACGTCAAAGGTACGTAACTGTGCCGGAAACTGCTCTTCTCTGGAGCGCATTCTTCCCTTGTGAAGGCTGGGACTCCTGGGCTATAGTCCTCAGTAAGCCTTGACTAAAACTCTCTTCTTTTCTTTTGCAATAGAATGATTATTGATTCTGTCGACATTTCCAACACACTTGAGAACATGAGAGGGCCTTATCAGTAACAGTTACTCACCAAGGCCCCTCCTTTCAGGAAATCCACGAAGTCAAAGCTATTTTCCTAATAAGACTAACATGCTATTTGCCTTTCTCACTCAGTTGACACGTGCACTGATGGTGCAAAAACAACAGTAGGCAGAACTACTGACAACTGAGCATAAATCAGGCAGCGGCATCAAACTATACTAGCAGTCAGTGTATTCTTCACCACACACACTTGCAGTAAAAGAACCAGCCAGTTTTTTCACAAAACAATATTTTTACTTGAAAGAATGACTGACACACAAATGACAGTTATTTAGATTTAACCAGACATTTCCTCACAGATGAATGAAGTGAGCCTGTTACACTTCAATAAAGAAAACTGATAGTTTGCTGCCAATGAAAATTTGAGCTTTTAAGCAAAAATCAGAAGTTTATAAAATATGTATCTGCCACTATGAGCTCAGAGGCTTCTAAATAAAGACTTATCTAATGAGGTTGATGGCAAAAGTAACAGATGTGTTTTTTTAAAACTGTATAATAAAATGTCAATATTTAGAAAATCTTGGGGCTTTGGGGGCAAAAAAAATGAGGAGGATTGGCAATAGATGTTAGCTCAGAGCCAGTCTTCCTCAGCAAAAAAAGAGGAGGATTAGCACGGATGTTAGCTCAGAGCTGATGTTCCTCACAAAAAAAAAAAAAAAGAAAATCTTTATAACTCAGCTAACCAATATCTTACAACATCATGCATGGGTAAAAGATACATTCAAGCTGCAGGGAAGACCAATAAACCATGCGCTGCACAACGATGTTTCAGTCAACGATGGACCACGTATATGACAGTGGTCCCACAAGATCAACACCACAGAGCCTAGGTGTGTAGTAGGCTACACCATCTAGGTTTGTGTAAGTACACACTATGAAGTTCGCACGACGCATTTCTCACAGAATGGATTCCCGTCGTTAAGCGGTGCATGACTGTATAACAAAGTAAAAGCTCACTGAAAAGGTTTCGGATTCCTTACTGCAACCAACCCGGAAGAAACTACCACTTGTCCAGTTTTGATGTAGTATCAAAGAATAGCCGTACTACCTGAGAAGGCTGTTAAGATACTCCTCCCTTTCCCGACTAAGTATCTGTAAGGCCAGATTTCTCTTAACTACTTCAACCAAAACAGCATATTGCATCAGACTGAATGAAGCAGCAGGATGAGAATCCAGCTCTCTTCTATGAATTCAGATACTAAAGAGATTTGCAAAAATGCCAATCTTCTCACTGAAAAATTTTTTATATCAATAAACTGTGATTTTCAATCTTTTAAGAGTGTAATGTGGTCTTGACACCAAGAAGTTTGAGAAGTGCTTATCTAAACAAAGGCCTTGGAGACACGGTAGAAATATTTACAAATGCAGACCCCAGGAAATGCTGGTTCTGTCAGTCAGCCAACAGAATGCCAAGCCCAGTAGCCCCCAACATCAGCCCTTGGCCACTGTTCACACCCAAACACCAAAGAGGAGCAGCCTAAGAGACGATAACTCCTCTGCACTACCTGCAGTCTCTATTCATTTGGAACAGACGGCAAGCAGCACTCACCTCCGCTTGTGTACACCTCCAACTGCCGGTTGATGTTGGACTTGTCTACCAGGGAGTGAAGGACATTGAGGACGCTGTGAACATTCCAGATTTTGGGATTGGAACGGAGAAAGTCAATCTCCTCCTCTGACTTCTTGGCAGTCTTACAGCGGTACTGACTGAATGACTGGAACTGTTGAGGAAGAAGGGAAAGATGCAGCAGATGCCAAACCCAGTGCCAGCCCAAGTGCACAACGCTGTGCATTTATCTTTCATTAAGCTGTGAATTTTGTTCATTACTGAATATGTTCCTTATTCCACAGCTAAGTAAAAATCTGTGAGAGGTAGTTTTTGGAAAAAGCATTCAATTTGGAGTCAAACACAGCCTAAAGTCACTTAACGTCTCTGGGCTTCACAATGCAGTCAACTTGGCCGCCAGAATCAGGTGGCTTGTAACAAATCTATTCATATTGGCTTTGCCATGCCAGCGTCAAGATTATGAATAACGACACAGTGGAGATGGCACAGGTATCTGTGTCTGTCTTCCCTTCCAGAGTTGACCATCAATTCACCTGAGTCACCTCTGTACTAACCACAGCGCCTGGCCAAGTGTAAGGCACATATAGGGGACATAACACAGGTATTCTGGGGGGACCGTGGTTTTATCTGGGACCAGTGTCAGGCTGGCTCCATCAGTCACCCAGAGAAGAGCACAAGAGACCTACCTACCTACTCAATCAGAATTTTTAAAAAGCTCCTTGGCTGATACTGGTACACACACAGGTTTGAAAACAAGTAACCTAGCTGGGCCAGCCCCGTGGCTTAGCAGTTAAGTGCATGCACTCTGCTAGTGGTGGCCCGGGTTCATATCCCGGGCGCACACCAAGGCACGGCTTGTCCAGCCATGCTGAGGCCGCGTCCCACGTACAGCAACTAGAAGGATGTGCAACTATGACATACAACTATCTACTGGGGATTTGGGTGAAAAAAGGGAGGAGGATTGGCAATAGATGTTAGCTCAGAGCCGGTCTTCCTCAGCAAAAAGAGGAGGATTAGCATGGATTTTAGCTCAGGGGTGATCTTCCTCACAAAAAAAAAAAAAAAAAAGAAAAGAAAACCAGTGACCTAGAATCCAGATCCTAAATGACCTAAGATTGCTCTTCAACTCTAAATATCATCTTCCTCTAAGAGTACAGAAGAAAAAGTTTCCAAACTGACAATGAACAAAGAATAGTATCCAGAATATAGAAGGAATTCTCCTAAGTCAATAAGAACAAGATAATCCAACAGAAAAATGGGCAAAGGATACTGATGATCACTTCAGTCAATTAACAGGGAAAATGCTTAATCTCTTCAGTTACCAGAAAAACGTAAATTAAAATGAGATTACCATTTCTTAAATCAGACATACCGATGACATACAGTACAGAAAACTTGCTCTCAAACGCTGCTGGTAGTAGTATAATTTGATACAGCCTTTTGGGAGGGCAGTATTACTATTTATTAAATGCAAAGTGATTGAAATGTTCTATATCTTGATTGTGGTAGTGTATACATTTGTCAAATCTCATCAACTATACACTTAAAATTAATATATTTTATTATATGCAAATTATGACTCTATAAAGCTGATTTAAAAAATCTTATAAAGCAAATATCTTTCAACCAGCAATTCTAGTGATCCCTAGAGATATACCTACGTGTAACACATACAAGGATACCCACTGATTCACTATTTGTAATAGTGAACACTGAAAACCCAAATGTTCGGCACCACAAGAGCAGTACATCCATATCATGTACACGGCACAAAAGAACAAGGCAGATCCTCTACGCAGACATGGTAAGTGTTCCAAGTCACAACAAATTACACAACGTAGTATGATATCACTTTTCAAATGAGCTATTTTTATATGTACACATTTATGTAAATGCCTGAGAAACACTAACGTGGTGCCTATCTTTCCAGACAATGATGCCTCTGCAATGGCAAGGAAAGAAGACACTTTCACTTTACCTGCAGTTTGAAAAAGAAAAAAACTTTTCATCAGTAATAACACATTCATATATTACTTGTATCAATAAAAGTAAGTGAAAGAGAGTGGCGGGGAAGAGGCACTCACCCCGTGGCATCTACCTGGCCCTCAATGGCCAGTCTTTGTGAGAAGTGAGAGCACTTTAAGCCCCTTAATAAGAGAACACCAGCTAAATGCAGGGAATGATGATTACCTTAAGGAGGATGAAGAATCTTAGCACAGATGATCCTCCTCGACTTGCTGTGAGTCGACAAGACTGCCAATCTCCTAACAGAGAGGCTGACACAAGCCCAGGAGCAGAGAGCAAACAAGGCCAGGGTGGTTTGTGGCCCTCGCTGCACAACGGCAGTGAAGCCCCATCTTGAGCAGGAAGCCTTTCTCAAAGAGCCCAGGAAGGTTTCCTCAGCTCACCAATCACAATTTATCAGCACTCTGTATTCACAAAGTCTCTCTGGTCCATGGAACTCAAATGGTTTTATTCAGAAACTGACTTCTCCTGAAATACCCACAGAGAGATATACTATCCCCCTAAAACACACGGAAAATGAATTTTTCCAAATTTAACTATTTTATGGTTTTCAGTCTATATTATATAAGAGTAAAACCAGGCTAAAAGAAGGTAGAGAACAAGGATGATGATATTGACCACCCTAACAAGCAGGCACTATCTCCCGCGCAATCATTCTGTGACAGGCACTGCACTAAGCACTCCCTATGTAGTACCCTGGGAATCTTCCCCATCATCCCTGTTTCAGAGAAACCAAGGAACAGTGTGCATAGGTAATCTGCCCAAAGTCCAGGGCTAGAGGACAGCAAGACCTGAACGTTTACCCCCAGGCTACACAGCTGCTGCACTTTACATCTGGCAGGGTTCTTAGTGGAAATCTTAATATCACCCCGAGGTAGGCGCTATTTCCGTTCTGACAATAACGTTCTACTTTACTCTGAACTAGGACATACTCAGGTAACCACTATCACCATCGAGATACAGAACATTCTTGTTTTGTAGGTGAGGAAAGTGAGGCTCAGAAAGCTTAAATAATGTCACTGTTACACATAGTCTGGTGGCAGCCCCCAGACTAGCACCCACTTCTACCTGACTCCAAAGCCTGTGAAGCCTCTGTTCTTCCTGCCAGACCACCTTTCAAGGTCAGGTAAGAACTTGGTGAAAGTCAGGAGTTCAACTCTCTTAGGCCTCACAGACTCTTCAGAAAACCACGACATAGGAGTTCACCACCATGGGATATTTACACTATGATGGGGAATTTTTTTTTTCTGAGGAAGATTTGCCCTGACCTAACATCTGTGCCAACCATCCTTTACTTTGTATGTGGGTCACCACTGCAGCACGGCCGCCAACGAGTGGTGTAGGTCCACGCCTGGAAACTGAACCCGGGCCACCAAAGTGGAGCACACCAAACTTAACCACCAGACATGGGGCCGGCGATGCTGACATTTTTATACCATGCATCTTTTTTTTTTTTTTGGTGAGGAAGATCAGCCCTGAGCTAACATCCATGCTAATCCTCCTCTTTTTGCTGAGGAAGACCGGCTCTGAGCTAACATCTATTGCCAATCCTCCTCCTTTTTATCCCCAAAGCCCCAGTAGACAGTTGTATGTCATCGTTGCACATCCTTCTAGTTGCTCTATGTGGGACGCGGCCTCAGCATGGCCAGACAAGCGGTGTGTCGGTGTGCGCCCAGGATCCGAACCAGGGCCACCAGTAGCAGAACGCGCGCACTTAACCGCTAAGCTACGGGGCCAGCCCACCATGCATCTTTTTAACAACACAAACAATGGTAATAGCTGCTGCTTGTTTGGACCAGTTACTTCAAATTAGGCCAAGGCTGGCCAGATACCTGATAGATGAACTCATCGATGATATCCCAGAGCCACTGGTTGGGTAGTTCAAGGGGAGCAGGACCATCAGCATCTGTGAAGATCACAGAAAAGTCAGACTCAGAGCAGTGACTATGCCCATTCAGTCAGGCTGCAGAACACACTCTGTAAGTTCTCTCTTAAAAGGACTATGAATCATAAGATTTCCCCTCTTCCCACCTGCATATTAAAATCCTGCTAAAAAGAACTGGAGGCCAATACTAGACCTCACAATAACCTCACCCCCACCCCCTTGGCCAAACCTCAGACTCACTAAGAATGTAGTTGAAGAGATTGCAGTAGTTGTAATAAGATTCAAACCTCTGTTCCAAGGAGGGTCCTCCCTGTAAAGAGAACAGAGACATCAGGACACAAATATTTAATTTAAATGTATTTTTATGGTGACAGTTGGTAACTAGACTTATTGTGGTGGTCATTTCATCATGTATATAAATATCAAATCACTATGATGTACACCTGAAACTAACAGGATATTTTATGTCAATTATACTTCAACTAAAAAAAAAAATGTTTTACTCATGGCCTACCATGACAAGTGAAACAAATACCTGAGAATTGACGTCTGCTCTCTTCTTAGTAGGCAAAGAGTACTCAAGTGAGAGGCAAGACAGTAAGCGCTACAGCAGTTCAAAGGGGCACTGAATGCCTGACCACAACAGTCAGGTTTTATGGCAACAACCTTAACCGACAGTCAGAGAACAGCCATGCAGATCCAGCGAAACAGAGAGAGGGGAAGGTGTTTCAGGAAAAACAGTACTAACAAAGGCAGAGAGCCAAAATCACGGCACTTCAAGGTTGGGGGGTAAAAGCAGACAACACTACACTGGGCTACACAGGCCAGGAATGCAGAGGTCTTGCAGTGCCAAACAAGAATCTAGTCCAGGGGGTCAGCAAATCCACCAACACTTGTGGAGGGGCCAGCCACATGGCATAGTGGTTAAGTTCTGCATGTTACACTTTGGTGGCCTGGGTTCCCAGGTTTGAATCCCAGGCACAGACCTACACCACTCATCAGTGATGCTGGGGCAGCGACCCACATATAAAGTAGAGGAAGACTGCAACAGATGTTAGCTCAGGGCTAATCTTCCTCAGCAAAAAAAAAAAAAAAAAAAAAATAACAGGAACTCAGCCATGCATACTCATTGTCTACGGCTGCTACAAAGGCATAGTTGAATAGATTCAACAGAGATCATTATAGCCCTCAAAGCCAAAAATACTTACAATCTGGCCCTTTACATAGAAGGCTGCTGACCCCCGATCTAAACTTTATGTTGCTGGCACCTGAGAATGACTGAAGGTTCCTGAGCTGGGGAACAACATGATCAATGATGTATTTGTGATGGAATGGGAAGAACAGTGCCTTGGAGATTTAGCCCCACAGCTTACTAACTGTGGGGCTCTTACAAGGCATTTAATCTTTCTGTAAAATAAGACTATGTAGTTTAAATGCCTAATATAGTAAATGCTCTTTTTTTTTTTAAATGGTGCAGCCACTTTTTTATTTTATTTTTTTTTGTGAGGAAGATCAGCCCTGAGCTAACATCCGTGCTAATCCTCCTTTTTGCTGAGGAAGGCCGGCTCTGAGCTAACATCTATTGCCAATCCTCCTCCTTTTTTTTTCCCCAAAGCCCCAGTAGATAGTTGTATGTCATAGCTGCACATCCTTCTAGTTGCTGTATGTGGGACGCTGCCTCAGCATGGCCAGACAAGCGGTGTGTCAGTGTGCGCCCGGGGTCCAAACCCGGGGCGCCAGTAGCGGAGCGCGCGCACTTAACCGCTAAGCCAAGGGACCGGCCCAGTAAATGCTCTTTCGATGAAAAATCTCCCCCTGGGGTTTTAAAATTGGTCATGTATGTGAAAGTGCCCCCTCTGGTACCCAGCAAAGAGGTTATGGGGTCAATAAACTTTTGCTGAATCTTCATCTACAGACCAAAGGGAAGACTAGAGAAACCAGCTATACCATGGGTTCCGATGCCATGGCATCCCCAAAGAAGCCATGTTATACAGGCTGCTAGATTCTCAGCCTAGCCCACAAAGTACCTGAGCCATAGCATCAATGGTAGGAGGGACTCTTTCTATCAGAGTAAAGAGATAATCAGAGACCTCACTGGGATGCCAGAAAAACGTGGCCCCTCACTACCTTAGCAGCAGGAACTCCTCTGGCTACCACCACTGATGGTGGCTCCTGTGCCAAGGCAGGCGCTCTAGTCAGGTCAAGTGGTCCTCAGGAGGATGAGAGGTGAGTAAGTGTGAGAAACTGGGAACTTCTGAAGTGGAAATACTCTTAAAATTGTGGTGCCAGTTTCCTTTATGTACACATGCACACACACGCTCCAACAATTAATGCGTCACCATCAAAGATGAGGCACTGGATGACAGTAGTGAACAAGATCAAGCCCATGCCCTGGTGGAGATTACCCTCTAGGAGGGGAAGTAAACAAAAACCAAAGAAACAACACAATGTCAGCTAGTGCTACGTGCTCTGAAGTGCCACAGAGCATGGCGAGGAGCCCAGAGAAGGAGAGAGAGTTGTAGGAAACAAGAGGGGAAAGGAGTCAGGGGTCAGATCAAGCAGGACCATGACCAAGATTTGGGATTTTATTCTAAGTATGATGGGAAGTCATGATAGGATTGTGAGGAAGGGAGTGACCTGATGAGACTATGTTTCAAAGGGCTCATGTTGGTCACTAGATTGAGAATAAACTTAAGTGGACAGAAATGGAAACTGACACCAGGTGAGCGGCTATGCAGTAGTTCAGGCAAGAGATGATAAAGCCTTGAACCGGAGTAGCAGCAGTAGTGGTGGTGAGAAGTGGCTGGTTTCAAGAACTATGTTGAAGCTAGAGCTGAATAGGATTTGCTGCAAGGCTGGAAGTTAAGTGAGAGAAAAGTCAAGAACGATGCCAAGGTTTTCAGTCCAAGGAACTGGGTGAGTGGTGATATCATCTACTGAGATGAGGAACAGGTTTAGAGGGAAAACAAGAGTTCAGTTTGGGGCATATTAAACTACAGATGACTTATGAGACAGCCAAGTGGAGATGGCGAGCAGGCTGTTGGCTACACAAGTCTGGATTTGGAGAGACTGGACCTAAAGATAGAGATTATTAAGTCATTGGGGTATATAAATAGTACAGATGGTATTTCAAGAGACTTAGGGCACTCTTAAAATTCAGAAATCAGGAAGAGAAAAATCGAGCAAATACCCAAAGTTGAGGGAACGTGGTAGAAAGAACAACAGTGTCACAGTAAGACCGGCCTGGGTTCAACGAGTTTTGCCCCTTACTAGTTGCGTGAATGTGAGAAAAAGCAACCTCTATACACCCTGGTTTGCCTACTTTGCAGGATCACTGTGAGGATTAGAGATGTGTAGATGTGTGCCAAGTGCTAGCACTGTGTCTGGCAAATAGTGACAGTTTCATGTACGTTTCAGAGGGCAGGAGGCTCAGTGGCAATGCACTGAAGGGAAAAAGCAAAGGCAGCCCAGGCAGAGGCAGCAGAAGGTGCCTGGGAACACACTACTAGGACGCAGCCTGCAACCCAGTGCATGTGGTAAGTGTCCAGTCAAGGAGAACTGTGGGGATCCAGAGATTAAAAACGACGGACAGGCTATGCAGTGTTCCAGTTTGTCTGGAACAGATACCCAGCTTTCTGGGTTCAATCATTCCCTCCATCGTTCCTTAAAAGAATGCTCAGAAAACATGCCAACCACTCTTAGGCACCAAACCAATGCAAACTAATGATTGTGTCCCAGGGACAAAAATAACACAGAGTTTAAAAAACTGCCAGCAACATTTAGATACTCACACTGACTTTGGCATATATGTGCCTGTAGTATAATTCTTTGTACAAAATCAAGAAGACAGCATCTGAAAGAGATGGCAGAGGAGTGCTTTAGTAACCCATAAAACTAGCGTCTCCTGGAAGTTCTAGCCCTTTGAGGGGAGTAAAGCAATAAACACAATTTCAGAGACTAAACAACATCGAAACTCTAACGCTTTTACCCCAAGAATATGTGCAACAAAAAAATTCATTTCTCATTTTACTCTCTCAGCCTCATCTTAATCTCATTCAGAGTCATTTCCCTACACCGTTTAGAGATTTTTGCCATACAGTTTCTTAAATAAACCAGCATATAAATAAATAGTAATATGCTCCATAGAACGCAATTTGACACTATCAAAATTGCAAATACATGGGTATCTTTGACACAGAAATCCTATTTTAAGAAATTTAGCCCACTGATACAATACAACCATTAAAAAGAAAGAAGGGGGGAAAAAAAGCTCTTTGGGTATTGATGTTACGCAGAAAAGAGTTGACAAAGCAGGTCTGAGACTGCTGTTCTTGGAAAGGCCTGCTAGTAAAGTTGGTCCTTGGCTGGCATCTGGGAACCTAGATCTCAAGAGGGTTCCCACCACCCTGATAAGGGTGTTCTGCTGTGCCAAAACTGTTTGTGCAAACGTATGACTTACACTGAACACCTGCTTTCGTTCTGGCAGTCTAGAATTTCGGTACATGCTAGCCAAAGGGTGTGCCTACATGACTAGCCCCCAACAAAAGCCCTGGACACTGAGTCTGTAATAAGCCTCTCTGGTAGACAACTTTTCACACATGTTGCCACAATTCCTCGCTCGAGGAATTAAGTGCATCCCATGAGACTCCACGGGAGAGGACTGTTGGAAACTTGCGCCTGGTTTCCTCTGGACTTCGTCACAGGCGCCTTTGCCCTTTGTTGATTTTGCTCTGTATCCTTTTGCTGTAAATGCTGTGGGTACAACTACACACTGAGTCCTGTGAGTCCTCCTAGCAAATCATCAAACCTGGGGGTGGCCTTGGGAATCCCAGAGATGCAGAATACTCTCTGAAAATATAATAAATTTTTAAAAAGGTAAAGAAAGGGGCAATTAGTCTATGTAAAAAAGGAACAGAAACTACCACCATCTACAATAGCACCAAAAAACATGAACTACTTAGATCTAAATCTAACAAAACTTGTGCAGAGTTTGTATACTTTGACAAGAGATTTTCAAATATTGAGGTATATGCGGTAACTATTCGGGTTCAAAACTGATTTGGCTTAAACTAAAAAGGCTGACTTGGGGTCGGCCCAGTGGCGCAAGCAGTTAAGTGCGCGTGCTCCGCTGCGGCGGCCTGGGGTTCACCGGTTCGGATCCCGGGCGCGCACGGACGCACCACTTGGCAAGCCACGCTGTGGCGGCGTCCCATATCAAGTGGAAGAAGATGGGCAGGGATGTTAGCCCACGGCCAGTCTCCCTCAGCAAAAAGAGGATTGGCAGATGTTAGCTCAGGGCCGATCTTCCTCACCAAAAAAGAAAAAAAAAAAAACCTGACTTATGGCCTATCAAACATACACTGTACATCTGCTTTACTTTTTTTGGTTTTTTTTGTGTGTGTGTGAGGAAGATCAGCCCTGAGCTAACGTCCATGCTAATCCTCCTCTTTTTTTTTTGCTGAGGGAGACCGGCTCTGAGCCAACATCCACTGCCAATCCTCCTCCTTTTTTTCCCCAAAGCCCCAGTAGATAGTTGTATGTCATAGATGCGCATCATCTAGTTGCTGTATGTGGGACACGGCCTCAGCATGGCCGGAGAGGCAGTGCGTCCGTGCGTGCCCGGATATGAACCCGGGCCGCCAGTAGCGGAGTGCACGCACTTAACCGCTAAGCCACGGGGCCGGCCCTGCTTTAACTATTAAAGAACGTACTCTCTTAAGAATGCAGACTTCCCCTTCTATGCCGCCCTATTGGTAATTCCTATTTGCTTATGTACGCATAGAGTAAAAAGCAAGAATAAACAAGAAAATGCTAACACTAGATGGCACCAGAGAGAGAAACTGAAAACTCAGGGAAGGAAGTGGGAAGGGGATTTTTATACCAAATCTCCTTTTATACCAAGAGTCCTGTGAATCCTTACCTGTTTAAAAATACGTATCATGGGACTCCTATTGTTCTTAATATACATGAGATTACATTCTTTATAGGCAAATAGGCTCTATAATATAGGCTCTATATTAAACATAGAATAAAGTCTGAGCAACGTAACATTTCTTTCGGAATGAGTTCTACACCTACGTAATGATGATGATACTAATAATAAGTGTTCAAAAACGCTAGCTATAACAAAAGACTTGTACACTGAAAACTATGAAACATTGTTGACAAAAACTGAAGACCTAAATGAATGGAAAGACATCCTGTGTCCAAGGACTGGACTTAATGTTAAGATGGCAATCCTCCCCCAAATTGGTCTTCAAATTCAATGCCATCCCTATTAAAATCTCAGCTGGCTTCTCTGCAGAAATTGACAAGCTGATCCTAAAATTCACATGGAAATCCAAGGGACTCTGAAGAACCAAAACAATCTTGAAAAAGAAGAACAAAGTTGGAGGACTTAAATGTCCCAATTCCAAAACTTACTACAAAGCTACAATACTCAAGACACTGTGGTATAAGCATAAGGATAGACACAAACCAATGGAGTCAAACTGAGAGGCCAGAAATAAACCCTTACATTTACATGATAACCAATTTCGACAGGGTGCCAAGAAAACTCAATGTGGGACGATTGGTCTTTTCAAAAATTGGTGATGGGACAGCTGGATATCCACATGCAAAAGAATGAAGCTGGATCCTCCTACTTCACAGCATATATAAAAGATACCATCAGAAAGTGAAAGGTAGGAGGAGGCTAGAGAGCCCATTCCAGAGTGACTGTAATGAACCCTGAAATTAGACGGAAATGGAAACAAGTCAGGACAAAGATCTGGGTTTCAGCTTTCGCTACATGAGAGATCTGTCCTCTTCATTTATTCAGCCTTCATTCAACAAGTTATCTACTAAGGGTCTACCATGTACCAAGCCCTGGCGAAACAAAATGGTGAGCAAAACAGACACAGATCATCGAGCTTTCCCATGACGCCCAGTCATAGAATCCCATCCAGCATACAGGACAGAAAGAGCTCACACCTACCGTTGCCAACTTGTGGAGCAATGGCTTCAGCCTCAGGCCAAGGTGTATTCTTGAAGAATCTTTCTGTCAGCTTGGTCCAACTGAAAACCAAGAAGAAACATTCTAGAACCTCAAAAGAGGAAGCACCTGAGAGAGGCAACCCTCTCATTTTACAGATAAAGACCCAGACTCAGAATGGGGAAGATGTCACAGAAATAGAGCCAGGGCCAGAGCCTTCCAAGTCTACAACTTTTCTCAACCCAACCCTGTACCTCAGACAACCTTTCTTAATACATAACATACTCCTTTTATATCAATTAGGTACCCACCAAGCTCCTCAGGATCACCTCCTCCCTCTGTATCATGGACTCTAGCCATATGCTTGCTGTTCCCTGATTCCAGAACTACTTTTTAGACAGTCCCACCCCCTCCCTTAGCAATACTGGTTCCACTACCTGGAGCACTGTGCCTCCTCCCCCTCTCCAAACATGGCAGCCAATCAGTTTGATGCAGTCTGATGCCACAACAGACCTAGAGCATCCAACCCAAACACTGCTGCCCAAGATGCTTCACAACCCCACGAGACGTTTCTATTCATTTTCTTTCTCCCAATCCCTTTAGCAGTTACTGCAACTTTCCTCCACTCTCCTCAAGCCCCACCTTTCCCTCTTCTTTGGGTCTTAGCTCAGCATGGAAACACGCTCAAGTCTCCCTTCAAAACACAGAACAAAACAGAAAGCGTCTCAAGGACCCCATAAGTCCTCTACACTTACCAATTCCCTTTTCTCAATCCCCATTTCTTAACCCACTGTCACCTGGCTGCTGCCTCCGCCACTCCACTGAAACTGACCTTGCTAAGGTTACCAAGGGCCTTCTGAATCACCAAATTCAACTGGCTCCTTTCTCATCTCAACCTTACCAGACAGTTAACATTTGTTGACCATTCCCTTCTTCAAAGTCTCTTTTCTCGTTAGTTCCTGTGACCCTTCTCTCTGCTGATCTGCTGCCTACTTTTCTGACACTTCTCTTTGCTCATTTACTACTACTACTTTCTGCTGTCCCCTTTACTGTTTCCTCTTTCTTTGCCCACATTCCCACAGGAACTTATTTCCCAAGGTGCCAGCCATTCTCACTACATTCTCCTAGGGACAGATCTACTACATGCGAGGCTTCAACTACTGTCTATATCTGCCTTCACTGTCCAATACAGTAGCCACTGGCCACATGTGACTAAAGAACTGAATTTTAAATTTTAATTAAATTTAAAAAACAATACTTAACTCAGTTATTGGAAAACTTGAAAGTATATTTGGAACAACTTGGGTATGTGAATCTACTTTTCCAATTGCCAATGTTATGAAACCTAAATAGAGTTCAAGTATTTCTGATGCACAGAAATTAAGATGTGCTATAAATGTAAAATATGGGATTTAGAAGACTTAGTACAAAGAAAAAGTAAAGTATTTCATTAACAGTTTAATACTGATTATATGTGGAAATATTTATACTGGATTAAATAAACTGTTAAAATTAATTTCACCTGTTTGTTTTTACTTTTTTAAAAACGAAGCTGATGAAAAAACTTTAATTACATCAGGCTAGCATTATATTTCTATTGGACAGCGCTGGTCTGTACACTTCTAACCAGAAAGACCCAGGGGATGAAGGAAACACAGGTCAGGGATGGGTCAACAGGAACTCACTGATCCAACAGGCCTTTGGCTATTCACCTTATCCACCCATCCTTACAGGAACTGCTTAAATTCTACTTCCTTGGTGATGTCTTTCCTGACTATCTCAACCCTGACTGACTGTCTCGCCTCTGATGCCCGCTGCACGAGGGCAGTCCCCTCAAAACCAGAAGAAATCACTCAAAGCTTGGCTCACCCTGTTACGCACTGAGAAGTTGTACAGGACAGTTTAGAAACTAGGCTCTGGTCTCAGACTGTGCAGGTTCAAAACTCAGCACATCCACTTAACTAGCTATATGACTTATCCTTTCTGTGCATTGTTTCCTCATCTGTAAAATCAGGGGAACGATAGTATAGTAGGCGCTCCTTATCTGCAGGGGGATATGTTCCAAGACCCCCAGTGGATGCCTGAAACTGTAGACAGTACCAACTCTATGTATGTTACTTTTTTTCCTATACATACATACCTATGATAAAGTTTGATTTATAAATTAGGCACAGTAAGAGACTAATGACAACAATAATAAAATAGAACAACTATAATAATATACTGTAATAAAAGTCACTGCAGATTTTAGCAACTTCAGTATACGTGCTCTTTCTTAAGTCAAGAAACTGTCACGTTTTCACTTAAAGGAAGCCCTTTACGGCTTCTTTGGCATATCTGAATTGTCAGCATCACTACTCTTGCACTTTGGGGCCATTATTAAGTAAAACAAAGGTTACTTGAATACAAGTGTTATAATACTATGACAGTGGATCTGACAACTGAGGAAGCTACTAAGTAATTAACAGGCGGGCAGCATATACAATATGGATATGCTGGACAAAGGGACGATTCATGTCGCAGGAGGGACAGCATGAGATTTCATCAAGCTCCTCAGAATGGCCCGCAATTTAAAACTTATGAAGCATTTATTTCTGGAATTTTTCCATTTAATATTCTCGGACCGCGATTGACTGTGGGTAACTGAAACCACAAAAAAATGAAACCGTGGATGAGGGTGGACTACTGTACCTACTTCTTGGGGTACAGGTAAATAAGTAAATACAGGAAAAGCATGCTGAACACTGCCTGATATATACTGATTATACACACTAATTGCTATTATAATGATTGACACTGACATTATTTTAGGCCTTGTACAAGTTATGGGGATACACAGACCAACAAAATAACATGTCCCTAGCCCCAAGGAATCACAGAAACCCCTTGGACACTCTCTTTACAGAAAAATGATTAACCATCACCCCTTTTTAGGGGCAGCATCACCAAGCCACTCAGAAAGAGGTCATTTCAGCCAGCAGCCAGTACCTGTTTTCATAGATGTCCTGGATCTCATACACCTTCTGGTCAATGACATCACTGGAGACACGGCTGGCCTGCAGCTCATACACCTTCTGGTCAATCAAATCCGAGACGGTCTTGTGGAAATACTGGATGAAGTTTTTGATCACTTCGGGGATCACCTGGTAGGTTTGCTGTTCATACTGCCGTTCGTAGGCTAAATCCTGCTTTGGATCTCCTAGAGGTTGGATATAATCAACACTTTACGAAAGTGCTTTCAAACCCATATATATGACATAACAAAAGGACAATCCCATCCCCCAAACCAAACTCTATAAAATCGATATAATTCCCTTTTAAACACTCAAGGGATACAATCCTCCCAGGTCACTCTCAATCCCATCACTTTGTTTCTTCAGAACATTAACCACTACTTAGTTATTTATTTACTTATTATCTGTTTCCCCACTAGAATCTAAAGTCTATGAGGGCAAGAAGCTTGTCTGTCTTGTACCCAGGTGCACCCTCAGAACCTAGAACAGTTAACATGTGTGTTGGAGGAGAGAGGAAGACTGTAGTAAGGGGGAGTTAGTAGGTACTTAATATTTTTTGAATGAATGAATGATTGCCGTTTTCTACCTCTATGGCACGATGCAAGTTACTAAACTTCTCTGTGCTCAGTTTTCTCATCTCTAAAACGGACATCACACTAATTTACGTACTTTATAAAACTTTTGTAAGGACTAAATTAAATACTTCACGCAAAGTACCGGGACAAGGCATGGCACTTACTAAGTGCTAAGTCAAGCCAACTCACTAGGACATTTCAGGAAATGTCAAAAACCTTCCATCTGGGGCCGGCCCCGTGGCTTAGTGGTTAAGTGCGCGAGCTCTGCTGCTGGCGGCCCGGGTTCGGATCCCGGGCGCGCACCATCGCACCGCTTGTCTGGCCATGCTGAGGCCGCGTCCCACATACAGCAACTAGAAGGATGTGCAGCTATGACATACAACTATCTACTGGGGCTTTGGGGGAAAAATAAACAAAATTATTTAAAAAAAAAAAAACCTTCCATTTGGACTTGGTTTGAATCATTAATTTTTCACAACAAGATTTTCTTCTTCGGCTAATAGTTTAAACAAAGAAACCACAGCCAGGATAGCGATTCCTCCCTTCTGAGACTTGGAAGTGGACCATGAAAAGGGCCTGGTTTATGAGATTCTATACCACCCTCCTGCTGAAAGCTAATAACTGATGCCAAACCTGGACCATCAAGAAGCAGTTTTAAACAGGCGTGCGTTAGAGCTGTTGCAAAACGTTAATAAAGGTGCCAACCCCTAGGCTGCCGTACCTAGCTAGCCAGACCAACCTGTAGTCTCACCTGTGTGCATATCATAGTCGCCCGGGTAAGCATACGGATCATAAGCAGCCTGTCAACGAAAAGAGACAAAAACAAGAACAGTCACCAATTCGTGAATCCAAAATGCTCGTTCTAGGGCCTACGGGCCACGCAGGATACTAAGGATACAAAAGTAGATGAGACACAGTCCCTGCCTTTGAGGACCTCGCATGGGAGCAAAGCGAAAACAATGACAACACAACGTTAGGAACGCAATAAGGCAAAGCACGAGAGACCGTGGGAATCAGCGGGATTCAAGACCGAGCGCAGACCATGAGAAGAGCTCAGTTACAGAAACACAGAACCCCATAACCAGCCTCCGTGCCCGGTCTTGGGAAAGGAGAGGACGAAGGGACCGGCCCTGCGAAGTGGGCGGGTAGAGACAGGGCTAACGAGGAGCCAGGAGCTGTGGCAGCAGCACGGGGGCCGCGCAGGCAGGGAGGCGGGCCGGAGCCGGTCGGCCCGCGGGGCTCCCGGAGACGCCCGGACACCGCCTGCCCGCGGGGCCCAGCATCCAGAGAGGCCTGCCCCCGTCGCGGAGCCCAGCACACGCTTAAGGCCGGGTTACCTCGGACTCGTAATCATCAGCGGGGTAAGACATGGCTGCAGCGCTCACGAACACCGCGGGAGAGAGCGAAAAGACCGTCCCGCCCCGCGCGGCGAGGCCGGAAGTTCAGGCCCGCTCGGGCCTGCCGGGAAACCGGAAGCCCTTCCGGGCCGCCGGCGAGCTGAGACAGCCACGTTAGGAAGGGCGGAAAAAAACAAACACCTAAATTTTCCTTCCTTCTTCAAACAGAGAATTTACAAGGATCGTGGCCCTATAGTACTTGCGTAAAGTCGGAAATAAGGACATGACATGGTTCGCCGTAATAGAGGATGGGCAAAGTAAGAGAAGCCAGAAGTCATGCCACACAAAAGATGGCTGACAACTTCCTCGGCCGACTTCTCGCGTGAAGGGAAATTCGGACGTGGGGGCCTGATATTGGATTTAGGTGTAAGCGGTTTGCCTGCGGCGAGAAATGTCTTCAAACTTTCTGCCCTCAAAAGACTAAACTTCCTGGGTGTAAAAGTTGAGACTTGGTCCCGTGCAGTGAGAGGGCATTGAGAAAAGGCGCTTCCGACTTTGGACTTGAAGGTTGGAGCAGGCAAAGATGAGGCCAGCTGTGGTGTGAGGCCCTGCGACCCACGGGTAAAGCACGGAGCGCTCAGGCTGTGGGTCGTGTTCCGAATCCGGCGGTAGCGTGGGTTCGAGTCCTGGAAGTCCTCGAGTTAGGGACAGGGTTATAAAACAAACCAACAGAAACTGGTATGTGAGTCAAGGGCCTTCGTTTAGCCATCTGCCCATCCACAACACCCAGTGGAAATCTGGATTCTAGTCACAGCCACTGATTTGCTGTGTGACCAGGCTGTGTCTCTCCCTCTGTAGGCCTCATCGCCCGCATCCTCTTGTCACACAGCCTTCCCAGCTTTCCGAAGCGAGGCACACTCCGCCTCACCTGGTCTAGATTGTAGAATGCAGACCTCCCAGATGTCCGCAAGGCTGGCTCCGTCACCTCCTTCAGCTGTTTACTCTGATGCCGGCGACTCAGAGCATCCTACATGTTTCGAGTTGCAACTTCCCGCCCCAGCTCCCTGTGCCGCGTTTTACTTTGCCTTCATTCTTTGCACTATCACCAAGAGGTGAGACCGTCATGGAACTAAAGCTTAAACTTTAGGGCCTCTCGATTCCCCGGGGTTCTTCCATGGCTCAAGGAGGGCCCCCAGCTATGTGCTTGCGTGGTCTTATGTTTTTGTAAACTTTGCAAAAGTAATATTTTTACTGCAGTCGCTTAAAACCACTCTCTACTCCGATTTCCCCTGTCATACTGCCCCTTGAGTTTAATGGCGTTTGGGATCCAGCTAGAGGAAATCCAGTTGGGAACATTTGAGTTTAGTAGAATATGTTTATGTGATACTGTTCCACGTATAGTTGTTATCACTGGCCTTCCTAGTGTAAGCTGTACCTGCCATCCCCTGTGATCAGTGAGTGTCCTCAATGAAAGGAGTATTTAAGGTTAATCAGGGTACTAGAAAGCTTGAAATTTTATAGTTATATAGGACAAAAATTTCATACAGGTTGTCCCCAACTTTGACAACAATTCTCAAAATGTTCATGACATTACTAAAAAGGAATTGTAAAACTGGAAGAAGTTTTTCTAAATTATTAATAAAAAATTTTGATGGAACATGCTAGAGGATAGACTAAATTATCTTTCCATTCTCATTATGATACGAAATTGTGGTCATATAAAGAGGCGACCAAAGCATAGTCAGCCTGCCAACACAAATAATCCATAATCAATCTATAAATCAAAATTGGGGTGAGTTTATTGTGAGCCGGGTTTGAGGACTGTAGCCCAGGGCCTGCCTTCCCCAAGCACGGAAGGACGCAAAAGTGGGGTGAACAGAGTGGTTATATACCGTCTTGGAACAAAGAGCACACATCACATATGATAGGAACGTCCCTTTTACAATAGTCACAAGATTGCTTTGCTGGCACAGCAGGTCAGTGGTCACAAGGTGAGCACAGCAGGTCGGTAATTCTTGTTTCTAGGAAGAGATGCTTATCCTTAAGGAAATGATATGGGGGAAGATACATCCCTATCTTTAAGGGCATCATTCTTGTCTTTGGGACATTGTAAATGATTAAAGTAGATGTACAATGCATGCTCAAGAGGCCATGACAGGCCCTTTTGGAAAAACAAGGTCAGGCCGAATTAGTTTTGTTTTTTTTTTTAAAGATTTTATTTGTTTATATTTTCCCCCCCAAAGCCCCAGTAGATAGTTGTATGTCATACCTGCACATCCTTCTAGTTGCTGCATGTGGGACGCGGCCTCAGCATGGCCGGAGAAGCGGTGCGTCGGTGTGCGCCTGGGATCCGAACCCGGGCCGCCAGCAGCGGAGCACGCGCACTCAACTGCTAAGCCACGGGGCCGGCCCCCGAATTAGTTTTAAACCAAATGGTTTCCTCATACACTCCAATATATCCTGTTGCTTTTCATGCTTTTCCTGTTGCTTTTTTCAGCCTAAAATAGAAAACGTCTTATGGAGGTGTTTAAGAAAATTAACAAATATGTTTCTTTTCTGGATTTTGTGATGTTTGTATTATTTGTCAGCTTTTTAAAATGACAAATTGCAATTTGTGATTGCATGATTTCTCCCACAATTTGTGTTGTGATTCCTTGTTCTAAATAAATATTCTCTTTCCTACCTAGTTCTGGTTTTGTAATTTTCTGTTCTTTGTTCTTCATGTAAGCTTCAGTCACCAGAAACTTGGATTCTTTGATTACAACCATCTAATATATATTTTATTTATTTATTCATGACTTTCTACCTCTTCCAGAATGTGTGCTCTAACTTAGAGATTAGTAAAGGCTCTGAGAGAACGTTCCTCACTGGCTACTCTTTCTCACCCTCCTTTGTTGGTTTTTTTGTGTGTGTGTGAGGAAGACTGGCCCTCAGCTGACATCTATTGCCAATCTTCCTCCATTTTTTTTCCCCTTTTTCTCCCCAAAGCCCCAGTAGATAGTTGTATGTCATAGTTGCACATCCTTTTAGTTGCTGTATGTTGGACGCAGCCTCAGCATGGCCGGAGAAGCAGTGCGTGGTATGCGCCTGGGCTCCAAACCTGGCCCGCCAGTAGCGGAGTGCGCGCACTTAACCGCTAAGCCATGGGGCCGGCCCTCACCCTCCTTTCTTAAGTCCTCTTCCTCTCTTCAGTCACTAAATAGTGGACTGCCCCTTCTCCCTGGGCTTGGTCTCCTCTATCTGCCATCACTCCCTGGGTGTCTTATCCAGTCCAGTAGGTTTAAATATCATCCATATGCTGTTGACTCCCCACATTTATATCTCCATCCCAGACCGCACTCCTGAGTTGGGCTCAGTGGCCCATGTGAGTACCCGGATGTCTAATGGGCACCTCAAACTTAACATGTCCAAACTGAGCTTCCGATTTTCTGCCTCAACCTTGCTCTTCTCACGGTTTTTCCCATCTTAGTTAACGGCAACTTCATTCTTTCGGTCGCTCAGGCCAAAGCCCTCAGAACCACCCCTGACTTGACTCTTCCTCACACCACATGTTCAGTGCAGCTGCACTTTGTTGGCTCTACCTTCAAAATATTCCCAGACTCTCCATTCTCACCACCTTGTCTCCATCGTTATTGTCCAAGGCACCATCATCTCATTAGTAGTGTAACGGCTTCCTCACCCTTCCTGCCTCCAATTCTCAGTCCATATTTGTAGAATTGCATTTGAATTCAAACTTAGGCCATTGCTTGGCAGCACATTAAGTCTGCTTAGAAATGCAACTTCGACCCGAAAGCAGCTGGAACCCCATTACAGACTATGAAATGTCTGAGCACTGCGTGTTTGATTTTGCAAGGCTCTCTTGTTAATGGAAGCACTACTTCAAAGGGAAGGAAACTGTGGGCAGACCAAAGCTCCTGGAATAATTTTACCTGGGAGAGTTGCTGAGACGATTTAGCAGCTGAAAAGCTGCCCTGTTTCTCTTGATCTTCCTTTGCCTGGGATTTGAGGCAGAAAATTCTCTGACCCAGAAAAGCCATTAGTTATATTTCACAGTCTGCCTGGGCTCTTCAGCTGGGTTCGTTTCAGGCTCCACTTCCCAAGAACCTGTAGTTTGTTTGTAGTTTGCTTACTGTCCTGTTTGTTTCATTCTTCTGAGCATGATTTCACAAGCCCCTGCCCACCCCCTTACTGCAGTGGTCTGTGGGCCCCAAGAGAGCAGTAGCCGAGTCTTTACAAATCAGAACTAGAAGTGTCCTTAGGAATCATCAGGTACAGGATTCCACTAGATAGAAAAAGACAGTGAAGTAGCAGACTGTTTCCTGACCTCATGTTAGGTTGTATCCCTTCTTTCACCACAGACATTGAAGACTATTGTTCTTACCTACAAATAAATATTCACTTCTTTTTCTGAAAACACAGGGCCCTCTCTCTGTAGTCTAAAAGATCAATTCTCAAATTGTTAAAAATATAATTGTCATGTTCTATATCTTGATAGGGGTGGTGGGCACATGAGTGTATACCTTTGTCAAAAATCATTGGCCTTGTACACTTAAAAAGTGGGACTTTTACTGCATGTAATTTACACCTTAATAAAATTGATTTTAAAATTATAAGTAAAATTAACAACAAACAACTAACCAAGAAAATTTTGGAAACTTAAGATGATAGACAAAAGATTAATACCCTTAAGAGATTAAAAACAATTCTCACACTAATAAAGAGTGAGCTTCTTTAGTCGTTAATGAAGGAACCAACAGTATGACAAAGCTGGTTTGGAAAGAATTTGAGGATAGTTAATGGGCAAAGGAAAGCTAAAATATGATGGCTGAGTTAGATCCAAACCTGTTTCATGCTCTACAGAGTAATAAAACCGTAACTGTTGGGGTTATCTCTCCATTGGACACACAAAAATTATTGCACCTTATCAGTTTCCTACAAGTTAACCTCTAACTTGACAGAGTTGTAAAACCTCACTGGGTCCTAATCGATTGTTAAGTTTCTCCAGAGAGTTAGCTGTCCTTTATGTAGGTTTTATTAGAAATTCTCTAGCATGATAATAAAAAGCCACATAATCACTTTGTCATGTTTTCAGACACTAGATAATTTTCCTCTGCACTAGTTTTCATTATTCCACGTTTTAAAGACAAGAAATATTTTAATTTCCTATTAACTGTACTTAAGAAAAACAACAGCACAAGTGTGATGAAAAACGGTAACTGCCTTTGGGCCTCAATGTGGAGGTAACAGAGAGTGGTGGGGACTGTGGCAAACCAGAACACCATGTCCCATCAAAAGGGGACAGTTGCCATGCAGACCCAGCCAGCTGTTGCCATGTGGGAGAGCTGGTCCTGTATTGCCATATCTTCTCATTTTTAACAGAATCTGGAAATAAAACATTATGTGAAAGCTCTCAATTTTTAAATGTTGGCAACCAGTTCAAATTGCTCTAAAATACTGTGAAGGCCAACAGGGGGAGGGAAAGAATGAAAGGAAAGCCAACCTGCTGAATTGGGCCTGAGCCAGTGTCAATAACTGACCTAGAACAATACCTTCTGATGGGAAGACTGAGGCCCAAAGAAGGGAAACACTTACCCCAAAATCAGGAGGTGAGTTTGGGCTGAACCAGACTTAGAACACAAGCCCCTGGATTCCCACAAGGCAAACATTATAGGTACTTTCTTTGTCTCCCACAAACTGCTTCATGTTTTATTTGCCGATTGACCAAATATAAATGACTTGTATATGAATGCTTGCATTCATACCCTTAGGTCAAGTTCAAGCCAGTGTGATGTGCCCACCGCTGTGTAGGATTTGCATGGGCCTTAGCCTGCATCCTACCCTTATTTATAATAATAACGACAATAGCTACCATTTTTTGAGCACTAACTCTGCGCCAAGCTCTGTACTAGGTGCTTTACTCACATTGTATCGTTTAGTCCTATGATAATCACATGATATAGGCACTACCATTACCTCCATTTTATAGACGAGGAAACTGAGGCTTGGAAAGGTAAAGTCACTTGCTCAAAGCCATAGCCCCACATATTTATGGCTCCAAAGTTGATAGTCTTAACCACTGGGCTATGCTATCTTTACTCATTCATTCATTCCTTCAATCAGTCAGCCAGTCAGTCAAATAGCTACAGGGTGCTGGTGCCCGTTGCTGAGCCAGGCATTACGGGGGACTACAACTTCATAGACCCAAGTTCCAGTCGAAAACCGTGAGGCTGAGGCTAACTGGGTCTACAGGCAACATCCTATTCTTCTAATCCAGAATAACAAGTGGTTCTTGAAACACACAGAGGATTGGGCTATGTAATTTAGACTTCAAATTAGAAGTAACAACCACTTCTAGAAATTTAGGGATCCTGTTCAAATTAAAAGATTTGTGACAATGCAAACATCTTAGTAGACCAGATGGCTTGAAGACCAGACCTACTGGTAGGAGGAAGATAACGGTCTTGACTGCTAAGATACAGGGTTTGGACTTTAGCCTGAACTCAATGGGCAGGCAGATCCTAGAGACCTGAAGAGAATTGTGGTTTAGGCAGCATGTGCACCTTGAATTCTGCAAAGAGAGACTGGAGAGAGAAAGACTACTTTGGAGGCTATTACACGGAAAAAGGAGGAATGAATAATAAAGTTATTTTGGGGTACATTCAGCAGGAGGGAGGTAAAAATACCTAGACACCACTTAAACTCTCCAGAGCCAGGTTTCCAGCAGACTTCATTAAAGAAGGCAGTGTGATGGAAAGAGAGGACTTTTCTGGGTTCAAATCCCAGTTCTTCAACTTTCTAGCTCTGTACCCTTGGACAGTTCATATAACATCTCAGGACCTCAATTTCCTGATCTGCAAAGTGGGTATAATAATATCTACCTGCTAAGGCTCTTGTGAGGGAGAACTAAGTGGTATAATGTATATATCAAGCAAGCACTTGGTAAATGATACATGTTCAATGTTTATTTCTTTCCTCTGTTTCCTTCTGGCTACAAGCAGAGCTGGCATATGTCCTTACTGAAGATGGGGCAGTGGAGGAGAGTTCAGATAGACAGCATTTTTCTCCACACATTAACAATGATCAACCTCACAATGGTGTGCTGAGAGCACTGCAAAATCTGAAAGTGCTTTTCAACTGTCAGAGAAAGATTACTTTTTTTGTATGTGTGTGAGGAAGATCTGCCCTGAGCTAACATCTGCCAATCCTCTTCTTTTTTTGCTGAGGAAGACTGGCGCTGGGCTAACATCCGTGCCCATCTTCCTCCACTTTATATGGGACGCCGCCACAGCATGGCTTGACAAGCGGTGCGTAGGTGCGCGCCCGGGGTCCCAACCGGCGAACCCCGGACCGCCGCAGCGGAGCGCGCCCACTTAACCGCTTGTGCCACCAGGCAGGCCCCTGAAAACACTTTTATCATAAGTAGATGTTGACATTTATTGCTAGTGCTGAGACAATCACATGACTTTTCTCCCTGAATTTATTAACATGATGAATGGCATTAATAGATTTTCCAATGTTAAACTAGCCTTGCATTTCTAGGATAAACCCAATTTGGTCATGAGATTACACTTTAAGTGGCTTGAATGAGAGGGAAGAACTCTTGCCTGGACACAAGCCCTCCTCGCAAGAGAGCTAGGCATCTATGAAAAGTCCCTTATTTCTCTGGTTTCAGCTCATCTATAAAATGGGGATGATCCTCCTTTCCTACCTTATAGAAGTATTTGTGGGGCACAGGGTTGTGGAAATTCTTAGAAACAGTGCACCCGTGAGGGTTTGCTAAGCTCATCGTTCAAGGTTTGCGACTTCCCTGTTTCCGGCTCTGACTTCTCCCATCGGACCGTGTGCATCTCAGAGGACACCGAGTCGGATCCTGTGTCCAGGACCTAGCACCGAGAGTTCCCTGGCTCCGACTGAAGCGTCGCTCTGGCGTAATTATATTGAATTATAATTCTCTGTAAATCAGTGATCAACGCCGGGGTTACCGAGAGAACTAAAGGGATCTATCGCATTCAGAAGCTATTACTCCACAGTTCGGTGATAGCCCTAAATTTTAACATAGTCTCACTTTCCTACTTACACTACGCATTTGTGGGAAGTTCTTTTTTTTACGTCCATCGATTTAAAACATATCTAGATCTCTCTATCCCTTGAGTTGGGCTTCTTCACTCTCCTTTGTGATTGGCGGCAGATCATCTTAACGTGATTGGCTAAGGCATCTGCCCGTTATCGTTCCCATGATCCGACGGGGAAAACGGAAAAAGAAGAGTGTCTTAAACTCAGCTGTTTTATTGGCTCCGGTGGATACGTACGGCGAGGGCGTGGGCATCTCCAATTTGTGATTGGTTCTTGTGTCCGTCAGTCACGCTGCCGGAAACCAATTCTATTGCTCGTACCATGCCCGGTGGGCAGTAGGGGGCGGGGTTTAGGCTGGAAGGGTTTTCATTGGCCCGGAACGCTCCAGCTCGCGGCCCGAGCCCGCCCCCCGCTCGGTTGCCGTGGTTGCAGGCCGGGCCCGCCCGCTCGCCCGCTGACAGAGAGGCTTAGGACGGAGGGAAGCGGGTCCGTCGGTCGGTCGGGAACGAGGCTCCGGCGGCCAGGCCGGCGAGGGGCCGTTGCCATGGCAGCCGCCGCCGGGGGCGCGGACGACGAGCCGCGCTCGGGCCGCTCGAGCTCAGATGGCGAGTGTGCGGTGGCGCCGGAGCCGCTGACCGGCCCCGAGGGCCTCTTCTCCTTCGCCGACTTCGGGGCTGCGCTGGGCGGCGGCGCGGGCCTGCCGGGCCGGGCGTCTGGCGGGGCCCAGTCCCCGCTGCGCTACCTCCACGTCCTGTGGCAGCAGGACGCGGAGCCCCGCGATGAGCTGCGCTGTAAGATCCCCGCCGGCCGGCTGAGGCGCGCCGCCAGGCCCCACCGCAGGCTCGGGCCCACCGGCAAGGAGGCGCACGGTGAGCGGCGCGGCGGGAGGCGGGCGGGCCCTGGGCCCGGAACCCGCCCCCAGGCCCCCAGTCGGGGTTCCTCGGACGTCTGAGCTTCGGGCCACAGTGGCCCCTGAGTCTCCTTTCAGCAGTGATAATTATTATAGCTGCTAAGACCGTGAGTGTGAAAAAACGTCTTCCTGCTCAGAGCCAGTCACCCTAGGCTTTTCACACGTGGTAATTCCTGAACAGAAACTTTTCCTGACTCCAGTGTTCATTAGTAGATAAGAAAATGGAGTCATGGAGAATTCTTTTATCAGAGAGAGGAGGCCAGAGCCTGTAGCCGGGTCCTACCAGCTTGTTTAAATGCACAGACCTGGATTGGACTCTTCTACCTCGTTTAGGCCTTAGGCAAACTATAGGACCTTTCAGCCTTAGTTTTCTCATCTGTAAAATGGGTGCAATACCTACTTTACAGGGATGTTGCAAGAGTTAAGTAAGGTAATGAATGTGTAGCTATTATTCTGCCTTTGTTTTGTGCCAAACCCTGTTGGGTGATGTCTAATCGTTTCTAGTCCTGACCATAACTCGTTGAGGTGCAGGTACTGTTCCCATTTTACTGAAGAGGAAGCTGAGGCTCAGAGAAATTGCCTTGCTCCAAGTTACGTAGCTAGAAAGTAGCTGTGCTGGTGGTAGAACCCTGGGTCTGCAGACTCAAACTCCTGCTCGGGTGTGTCTGCTATATTGTCTTTTACATTTTGTGGATGACGTGGAAACTAAAGAGTGAGGACTTCTGGGGTCCCTTCCAGGACTGTGATTCCACCTATATCTTAGTCGAGTTATGAAGATTAAATGAGAATTTGAAAGTGCTGTATAAATCATTAAGTGCTATATGACTGTAAGGAATTGTTATGTATCTGAGTTACAATTTCTGTTCATTTCTCTGATGACAAAGGCATTGCTTTCTATTAGCGTCTAATATAGAGGTAGTGTCATTGTAGGAGAAAAAAATTTCTGCTTAGGAATTAGCACGTTTAAGTAAGTCATTGGGGAGTGGCCTCTTTTGAAGGAGAATATAGGGTTATCTAAGTGACCTGCTCACAGACAGCGTCCAGGTAAACATCTCGTTTTGTCTTTGCTGTAACTCAGGGCTGTCAGGACAGAACTCAGCCTTGTTTTGCAGATGATAGACCTGAGGCCCAGGTGGGTTAACTAACTTGCTCAAGGTCACCCAGTTGCTACAAGTGCCAGAGCCCAAGATCTGGCTCCAAAGGCCTTGGAAGATTTGCTGCAGAATGTGGCTTTTGCACTAGCTGGGCCACGTTTCAATTTTCTCCTTGTTCCCAGGGTCGTGTCTCTTGTAACCTGCCACCTTTCTTTCCCTTTAGATGCTATTCTGGCTGAAGGGTGAGTTAACTAGGAAGCTGTCCACTTTCTGCTTCATCATGGCCGTTGTTGTGTTTTTTTTTAACTGGCACTCTCGCACTCTTTTCACAGCTCTAAAGAGGCTGAGGGACTCGGCCAACGCCAACGATGTGGAAACAGGTGAGTGTGCAGAGCAGGTCTAGTTCCATGGGCTGGTTAGGGAAGGCACTGGTACACCTGGGAAGATAGTGCTTGAATTCAGTCTGCCAGCTCCCCCCTTGGACCGGGCTCATTGTACTTACTGTATAACTGCAGTCACCTTGTGGAAGATAAGTCTGGCTTAGATGCTCACAATTCCCATGCTTCCCTGTCACCAAGAACTTCCTCATGTCATACTGTTGATCTCCCTCTGGGCTCCCTGAGGGTGGGGACCATGCCTGCTTTTGTATTCCTGGCCCCCAGCAGCAGAATAGAACCTTTTTGGGACTTCTGGTTAATGGGAGTGAACACTCAACTTTAACTGCCAGGAGAGCCACCACCTGCCCAGAGCCACCACCTTTCACTGCTCCCTGAGACTTTGTGGTGCTTGTGTCAGTGGTCCTCAAACTTGTTTAGTTGACAGATCACCTGAAAGGCACGGGAGGGGCCCCTGGCAGGCACCACTCTGGTTTGTTGTTGCTCTCCAGCGTTCACTAGCTGGCAGGGCAGTAGCAGCATCAAAGGTACAAGGACGAGTTATAGGAAAATACTTTTAATTTTTTTGTGTGTGTGAGGAGATCACCCCTGTGCTAACATCTGCCAATCCTCCTCTTTTTTTGCTGAGGAAGACTGGCTGTGGGCTAACATCGTGCCCATCTTCCTCCACTTTATATGGGACGCCGCCACAGCATGGCTTGCCAGTACTTTTAATTTTATCCACTGACTTAATTCTGTGAATCAGGGAAAAGTGGTGTATTCGTTTTCTATGGCCGCTGTGACAAATTACCACAAACAAGTGGTATAAAACCACACAAATTTATCATACAATTCTGTAGGTCAGAAGTTCAACACACGGGGCCAACCTGGTGGCGCAAGCGGTTAAGTGCGTGCGCTCTGCTTCGGCGGCCTGGGGTTTGCCGGTTGGGACCCCGGGCGCGCACCGATGCACCGCTTGTCAAGCCATGCTGTGGTGGCGTCCCATATAAAGTAGAGGAAGATGGGCATGGATGTTAGCTCAGGGCCAGTCTTCCTCAGCAAAAAGAGGAGGATTGGCAGATGTTAGCTCAGGGCCGATCTTCCTCACAAAAAATAAAAGAAGTTCAACACATGGGGCTGGCCCAGTGGCACAGTGGTTAAGTTCGCGCACTCCACTTCGGTGGCCCAAGGTTCACCGGTCCGGATCCTGGGCACGGACCCACGTACCGCTCATCAAGCCATGCTGAGGCAGCATCCCACGTAGAGCAACTAAAAGGATCTACAACTGTGACATGCAACTATCTACTGGGGATTTGGGGGAAAAAAAGGAAGAAAAAAAAGGAGGAAGATTGGCAACAGATGTTAGCTCAGAGCCAGTCTTCCTCAAAAAAAAAAAAGTTCAACACAGGTCTCACCAGGCTGAAGTCAAGGTGTCAGCAGGGCCATAGTTCTTTCTGGAGGCTCTAGGGGAGAATCTGTTTCCCTGCTTTTTCCGGCTTCTAGAGGCCGCCCACGTTCCTTGGCTCCAGTGGACTGAGTCTGCACACTGCCATCTCTCTGGTTCCCACAGCAGGGAAAGGTTCTCTGAGTTTAAGGACTCCTGTGATTAGATTGGGCCTGAATAATCCAGGATAATCTTCCCATGTCAAGGTCCTTAACCTTAATCACATCTGCAAAGTCCCTTTGGCTGTGTAAGGTAACAGATCTGCAAACTCTGGGGATCACGGCGTGGCATCTTTGGGAGCCCTTATTTTGCCCACCTCAAGTGGACATCATTCTGTTGGTGGCAGGATGCTATGGTCAACAGATAAAATGCGAGCATGGGATAGGAGAGCTCGGGTACAGCCAGCGTAGAGAGGAGGTCATTTACCTCAGGGAGCTGGGCTATTGCACCGTGGGCCTTGAAATGCTTCCCTTCTCCCTGACACAGCAGCCATGAGCAGGCCTGGAAAGCAGAGGGCTTTTCAGCTCTTTTCACTTTGGTCTCTTTTCCATGAACTTTAACATTTTGGAATATTTTGGACAGCAACCTAGATAGCTTTTCAAGGAAAAATGATAAGTGTTCTCTTTTTAATATTTCTGGTATGTGGCCAGAGAATATTTTAATTATACTTCCCTTCCACAGAAAGTCTAGTTCATCTTGAATCAGGTGTTCACCTGGTGGTTTTATTATTTTGATAGAAATGCTGTAGTTTTCCATTCAGAGCCTCTAACACACTCATCTTCACATCTGAATGGCTCTTAGATTTACCGGGCTCTTGCAGGCCTCTGATGGTGAGATTGGCTGCGGGATCAGCCTCTTCACGCCTTTTCTTTTGTGGTTAGGACTTTGTTTTCTTTCTCTGTGTGTTTATCTGTTTTTTCTATAGTTTAGCAATTATAGTGAACATAAAATTTATACCCCGCTATTGTTAAATCGTAAGTCCTTCTCTATGAATTCACATATTTTAAATATGAAAATAATATACACGTTTAAAATGTTTTGGAAATTAGAGAAATATACAAGAAAAACATCCATAATATCAGCAAAAGAACTAATTTCTATTAATATTTTGGTGAATATCTTTCCAGTCCTTTTTCTTTTGCAGAAGAATTTTCATTATAGGCTTGCAAACTGCTGTATACACAGTCTTGTAGCCCACATAATTTTTTGGGTATCATAAACATTTTTCATAGTCTTTGTAACTGTTTTTTCAAAATGGAAGCATCATTATTTTTCTATATTTATAGAATGAATATACGGCTGTACGATTTTTTTAAAGCTTTTAAAGTAAAAATCAAAAAACACCTTATAATTCCATTCCCCAATTATAACTGCAACTTTTTTGTGTGTGTGTGAGGAAAATCAGCCCTGAGCTAACATCCATTGCCAATCCTCCTCTTTTTGCTGAGGAAGATTGGCCCTGGGCTAACATCTGTGCCCATCTTCCTCCACTTTACATGGGACTCTGCCACAGCATGGCCTGACAAGCGGTGCGTTGGTCTGCGCCCGGGATCTGAGCCTGTGAACCCCTGGCTGTGGAACCAGAGCGCCTGAACTTAACCGCTACGCCACCAGACCGGCCCCTATAACTGCAACTTTTTTTTTTTTTAATTAATGTCTTAATAGCTTATAATATTGTGAAATTTTGGTTGTACATTATTGTTTGTCAGTCACCATATACATGCCTCCCTTCACCCCTTGTGCCTAACCCCCAACCCCCTTGCCCCTGGTAACCACCATACAGTCCTCTCTGTCTCTGTATTGGTTTATATTCCACATATGAGTGAAATCATGTGTATAACCGCAACTTTTAATGATGCACACTAGGCCTTCAAAGGCACAAAGCAAGAGTTATTTAGTCAGTCATATATCTGCACATTGGTTTTTCATTTTTAAGACCATTTCCCAGGTATGGGATTGTTACATCAAAGGGTATATGTATTTTGATGGCTTCTGATAGATGTGGCTAAAGTGCATTCCAAAAAGACTATAACTGCACAAATCACAAGATAGAACAGGCTGTTTTAGCTTGGTTTTCTCTCTTTGATACTGGCTATCTTTCGGTGAATGTACTGATGAATGCTGAGCTAACCTGGAGCTCTTACTTCTCAGAACTCTGCTCTCATAAACCTTTTCCTGCCACCTCTGTTCATTGATTCAGTCAGCCAGCAACATTCTCTGAGCAGGACAATAATATCTTGATCCAAAGTGTTAAGATAAAACAGAAAGCTACAATACAGTTGGAGAAGAAGAATATAAAGTGATACCACTTCCAAACCAAAAACCCCCGAAAAACTGAAGTGTGTGTTTAATTGGAGAGGTGTAAGCTCCGGAGCCAGAGGAACCTGGGTTTATGTCCCAGCTTTGCCTCCTGTGAGCCGGGTGAACGGAGCTTGGGCGCCTCACATCATCTCTCTGGGCTGCAGTTGCCTGGTTTGTGAAATGGACGTGATACCTTGCTGGCTGGTCGGGCACTTAGCAGTCAGGTGTCTGACGCCTGGCTGGTGCTCAGCGTACAGATGCAATTACTCTAAAATAGCACAGCCCGTTAATAGTAGAGTAGCAGGGTGAACAGGCCACTGAGGAGATGCAGGAGAGGGAGTGTCTACCTCGGCTTGAGGAGCCAGGAAAGATTTGTGGAGGAGGAGACATCTGGGCTTTGTCTGGAAGGACTCAAGTCCTTGAGAGGTTTGCCAAGGGAAAGAGACTAAAATGTTGCCTGCTCTAAAATGACGGTTGGCAGCAATTTCTACATTTCAGGTGGATGTGTACATGTAATACATAATGCCTCACATTTTATAATGGCTCCCTACTTTTCAGAGAAGGAGTTTCATGTCCATTATTCTCGTCAGAGCAGCTCTGGAGATTGGAAGGGCAGAGATTATCCCCATTTGCTGGTGAATTGGGGCCCAAATCCAGGCGTTCCTGCTCCCAGCCCAGCTCTTTCCACTACCCCATGCTGTTGTGAATGCACTCCTTCCTTTTTTGCTTAGCCTTGCCTAGGACTTGGTCTGTGTGGCTCCAGAACTCGGGCTCTGTCCACTAGAAAGGGCTGCCTCCTGGGAGCAGAGTAAGCGTCGGCCCACAGCTTGGGCAGCTGTGTCCAGCTGGAATGGATATGTATCCAATTTCAAGTTGAGGGACAGGGCCAAAGTCTATGCTGGGGATTTCTGTGATCCCAGAATTCCTGGCCCTGAGGGTCAAGATCCTTCTGTGACATTCTATCCCTAGACACATAGTTTGAGCACCCAGAATCCACGGCCCTCAGATGAGCCCTCAGGAAACCAAGTCCCTGTCATGGCAGTCCCTGTGGGGCCAGCATCCAAGAGGGACCAGCTCTCCCACGCATTACAGATGCCTTGCCTGGAGGGGCGTGTGAGCATCTGTCTCCACCTGCTGCGACTGCAGCTTAACTCACACTGCCGCTCTCTCCCCTGCCTCCCTGTCTTGCTGGCGTCAGTGCAGCAGCTGCTGGAAGACGGCACAGATCCCTGCGCAGCTGATGACAAGGGTCGCACAGCTCTACACTTTGCGTCCTGCAATGGCAACGACCAGATTGGTGAGTCCTGGGGAGGGAGGAGGGAGCATCCCTGGAGAGGTGCTGGGGGATCATCTGCTGTCTGCACAGCTCGGGGTGCTGGGTGTAAGGAAGACCCAGCAAGATGTTGCCCGTCCCCCTCACTCCCTTCGCCTGTGGAGCTGGCACCACCAGCCTGGGGAAGGGGCAAACCTGAAAGAACGTGATGGACTGCGAGGTTGGGGCCAGACCTTCAAGACATTCAGGCCACACTTACTCAGCGCCAAGGGCAGCAGTGGGACGGCCCTTTTGTTTTTGAGGAGTTTTTGGGTGCGGTACAACTTATAAACAGTGAACTTTCTGTGTGTATACACTGGTGTAACCACCACCCAGATCAAGCTATAGAATATTTTCAGCACTGCAGCAGCCTGCCTCATGCCCCTCCCAGTCCTTACCCCCATGTGGACCTTGTTCAGCATCGATTAGTTTCGCCTGTTTTTGAATTTCATGGAAATGGAAGCAGAGAGTATGCACTCTTTTGTATCTTGGCATCTTTTACTGAAAATTATATCCTTGAGATTCATCCCTGAATGCTGTGTGTCTCAGTAGTTTGTTTTTTCTTACTGATGTACCACAGTTCACCCAGTCTACTATAGACGGACTGCTTGGTTGTTTCTAGGTTTGGGCTATTGTGAATAAAACGCTGTGAACGTTCTTACACATGTGACTTGGTGGATATAAGCACTTGTCTGTGTTAGATATAAACCCACAAGTGGAATCGTTGGGTCCCTAGGGTACACGTACATTCAGCTTTAGTAGATACCAAACTTTATCCCGAGGTGGTTGTACCACATGCACTCCCGCCAGCAGTGGAAGAGAGCTCCACATTTTCCCACGTCCTTGCCAATGCTTGGTATTGTCTCTTTTTAACTTTAGTGGTATCTCATTGTGGTTTGTTTTTTTTTTAAGATTTTATTTATTTTATTTTTTGCCCCCAAAGCCCCAGTAGATAGTTGTATGCCATAGCTGCACATCCTTCTAGTTGCTGTATGTGGGACGCGGCCTCAGGATGGACAGAGAAGTGGTGCCTCGATGCGCATCCGGGATCCGAACCCGGGCCGCCAGCATCGCAGCGCGCGCACTTAACCACCAAGCCACAGGGCCGGCCCTCATTGTGGTTTAATTTGCATTTCTCTGATGGCCAATAATGTTGAGCACATCTTCGAGTATTCATTGGCCATTTTTATATCCTGTTTTGTGAAGTATTTGTTCAAGTCTTTTGTCCATTTTTTTAACAAGTTGCCTATCTTTTTCTTATTAATTTGTAGAAATTCTTTATATATTCTGGACACAAATAATTTATTAAACATAAATGACTTACCTTTCCTGCGCTTGGCTTTTTGTTCTCTGAATAGTGTCTTCTGATGAACACAAGTTCTTAATTTTAATAAATCCAATTTATTAATCTTTTCTTTTTTATGTTAGTATTTTTGTGACTTATTTAAGAAATCTTTGCCTATCCCAGCATCATGAAGGTATTCTCCTGTTTTATTCTACAAGCCTGACTGTTTCAGCTTTCACATTTAGGTCTGTGGTCCCTCGCATTAGTTTCTATATATGGTGTGAGGCTCAGCCTGGTCTCCCTGTATGAGTTAGTCTGCCAGCACGTCCATCTGGGTAATTGATGAGCCCTGGTGATACCACAGCCCACCCTTAGGTGGCCTAGACACTCTCAAGGACAGGGTGCTCAGCATCATCTATTGGTCTAATTCCCACTGGGGCGCTTGGCTGTGGAAGGAGCAGAAAATGCCCTTGAGAGCCCTGCTAGCAGCCATTGCTGTTGGAAGAAGTTTCTTTAACCCTTGAAATCTCAGTCCCGTAACACTTGCATAGGCCAGAGGCCCTCCTGGAATCTTCAGTTCCTGGTCCTCAGAGTCCTGCCTGTGAACCCTGTGACTGACTGAATGAATGAATGAAACAACATAGGGAACCGTGTTTGCTTTCAGTGTTCCACACTTTGTTTTTTTTAAATTTTTTATTTATTTATTTTTTCCCCAAAGCCCCAGTAGATAGTTGTATGTCATAGTTGCACATCCTTCTAGTTGCTGTATGTGGGACGCGGCCTCAGCATGGCCGGAGAAGCGGTGCGTCGGTGCGCGCCCGGGATCCGAACCCGGGCTGCCAGTAGTGGAGCGCGCGCACTTAACCGCTAAGCCACAGGGCCGGCCCACAGTGTTCCACACTTTGAGGGAGCTTCTTTAGCTAGGTTAGGGATGGGGTTAGGGTCCAGTCTATAGAAGCCTCTGACAGCTCCTCTTGGATTTTCCTGTTTCCAGTGCAGCTGCTCCTGGACCACGGGGCTGATCCCAACCAGCGAGATGGGCTGGGGAACACGCCGCTGCACCTGGGTAAGTGCCTGAAAAGCTGCCAAGACACCTTCTCTGCAGCACACACAGGCCCCTTTGCTGGAGAGCCTGAGCCCCCAGGGCCGCACTCCCCCAGTCTGTGTCCCAGGGACCTCCCCATCCATCACTAGTTGGCTGTGCCCTGAGCAGAGCTGAGTTAGCAACCTAAACTGGCTCAGCAGCAGCTCTGCTAGGGCAGGTGAGACCTGCAGCCATTCCTGCCCTGTGGCTGGCTCACACCATGGCTCATGGTGAGGCAGTCCCATCTCCAAGCCTCAGTTTCCCCAGCTGTCCTGGGGGAAGTTGGACTTGATTGCTGAGTCCTGCCCAGTAGCCACCATGGTGATGCCTTCTCAGGAGGCATGACCTGGTGCAGGCACACTGGAGACACAGTCCTGCTCCCTCCATCGGGCACACAGGGCCAAGCCTGGTGGTCCTGGCCTCTCAAGTCCCTGTTCTTCTTCCTCAGCGGCCTGCACCAACCACGTCCCTGTCATCACCACACTGCTAAGAGGAGGTATGTGGGCCTTCCCCTTCTCCTTCCTCTCTCACCCTTGTCTCAGCGTGCTCACCTCCGCCTGCTCCCGCAGGGGCCCGTGTGGATGCCCTGGACCGAGCTGGCCGCACGCCCCTGCACCTGGCCAAGTCGAAGCTGAACATCCTGCAGGAAGGCCACTCCCAGTGCCTGGAGGCCGTGCGGCTGGAGGTGAAGCAGGTGAGTGCCCCTCTCCTGCCGAGCCCGTGGCACCGAGCAAGCCCTGGACAAGTGCTGCCCTCACCACAGACACGCCTGCCTCCAGCGCCTGGCGGGGCTCCTGAGTCGCCTCACACTGACCCCTTGGCAGCAGCATCAGGCCTCTGTGTGCCTTCCAGCAGCTCAGCCGCCACTCTCGTTTCAGATCATCCAGATGCTGAGGGAGTACCTGGAGCGCCTGGGGCGGCACGAGCAGCGGGAACGGCTGGACGACCTCTGCACCCGCCTCCAGATGACTAGCACCAAAGAGCAGGTGAGTGGTTGGTCTACACCCAGGGCCCGGCAGGAGCCTCAGGGCCAGTCCATCCCTGCCCTGATGCAGCCAGACACTCGTAGGAGAAAGAGGCTGTGGCTGTGGGGCTGCAGCCCACTGTGGACCTCAAAGCCTCCGGCCACTTCCTTTGAAGCTGCTCGTGGATCTTCTCTCTGGGGCAGTCTGAGACCAGCTAGTGTCAAGGATTAACCCTTGGTGGGCAGGCCCCGTGGCTTAGTGGTTAAGTGCGTGTGCTCCGCTGCTGGTAGCCCGGGTTCGGATCCCGGGCACCCACCGGTGCACCGCTTCTCTGGCCATGCTGAGGCCGCGTCCCACATACAGCAACTAGAAGGATGTGCAGCTATGACA